CGAATCTCCATGCAAGCGGGTGCCTTGTTGTTGTCCTTCCACCCCTGCCAGAACATCTTGTCGGCCTTCCTGCCCATCTTCGCGTCGCCCTCCTCCTCCTTGAATTTGTTCCAGGTCAGTCCTCTTGCGGCTGGGGGCGAAGGCGCAGGCGGGCCGCCGCGGGAATGCGCTGTTTAACGAGACGAGGGGATGGACAACAGGAGGAGGGAGACAGTAGAGCATGAAAACGTGGAGGGAGGGGGCGGGGGATGACGAGGGGGAGTAGGAAGAGGATCAGCAGCAGGAGCAGAAGAAGGGGCGGGGGAAGCAGTGAATGGCTGAGAAATATTTGGAGCAGAGGCGAGGTAGAGAAAAACAAGAGATCAATGCCGAACCTCACCCCAGCACTGCCCTTCTCCCGCGTGCACTCTCACTCCCACCCCTGACGCCAACTATACTTTCCTTCGCCCCTGCCCTCCACCCCCAATCCTGGCACCGTGTACTGATAGCCGTCCTTGAAGACGGCAACGACCTCGTCGTCCTCCGAGCCTTTCGTGGGCATCTTGATGGGCTTGCAGTACTCTGGCGGGCCGCCCTGGTACGCGCGGTAAGCTGCCTGCGAGAAGGGGAGGGGACGGGGGGCGGTGCCCGGCGAGTGACAAGGAGAGTTGGGGAAAGGTCGCGGTGAGTTTGCGGTGAGTTTGCGGCGAGTCCGAGTTTGGTGCTAATGGGAATTTGTGTGTAGCACAAGAAAAATGACGGTGAGTTTGCGGTGCGTTTGAGTTGTGTCTAAGTTGATTTGGTATTGATTCCAGCCAATTGGTTGAAATCAATACCAGGCCAATTTAAGTTTGATATTATATCGCCGATGCGCCAGGTGAGCTCGGGACAGATCTGTCCTGAACGTACCTGGCACATCGGCGATGCGTTGGTTTGCTGTCGACCCGCGTCGAGGGAAACCTCCGAACAACGGCTGGATTATGCTAGCCTGATCTCCGCAGCTGCGAGACACCCTACCACGGGCAAGCCGTTTTGACCGAAGCCGAACTGTATCGCCCAGGGACGGCCTGGGGTGCACTCCAGGACGTCCCTAGGCGACGTTGAAAGCTTCCTCTATAGAGGAAGCTTTGAACGTCCGCCGTGGTGCGTGCCTCGCAGCTGCGGAGATCAGGCTAGCATAATCCAGCATAGACCTTCTCCTCCTCCTCCTTGTCCTCCTCCTCCTTCCCATCCTCCTCCTCCTCCTCCTCCTCCTCCTCCTCCTTCTCCTCCGAGTTCTCATCTTCCACTTCCTTCCACCTCCTTTTCCTCCCCCCCTCTTCCTTCTCGTAATTCCCTCTTCTTCTCCACCCAGCGGCGTCCCACCCGCATCGTCTCGTTCCAGCTGTATGTGAAGTCCTCAGCCGCAGGAGCATCGCCGCCAGCCTTCAGGGGGGGAGCGGCGCGGCAAGATAATGAGGTGCGGTGGAAAGGGTGGTGGAGGCGTGTGAGCGGCGCGTGGCCCTGTAGAAGTTCATGTGTCACCCTTCCCGCACCGCGCCCCTCCGTTCCCCATCGCCCTCCCCCCCGACCCTCTCCTATCGCTCTTCAGTCTCGTGCCCCCCCCTAATCCCCCCCCCGCTCCTCTCGCCAACTCTCTGCCCCTTCCTGTTCTCTTTGTTATTTTTCCCTTGCCCACCCCCGCCCTCTGATCCTTCTCAAAGTATGCCTTCAGCCAGGCCGGAACTGGGCGCTCTGAGGCCGTGGCTTTGAGCACCGCTTGGTCGATGTGGCGGCACATGGCCCTAATGCTTTTAGCTTTGTCGCGGGCCCAAGTTGACCTAGTGTTTGCCAACTTCCAGCACCCTTCCTTATCTATGGCAATCGTTTCGAGGAGCTGCGCCAGAGGTTTCTGAACGAGGGGGCCCTGGCGACTGATGCAGTCGCGTCGGATCCGCACGAGGAAGTCCTCGTGGGCCTTTAATGCAGAGAAGTCTGGCGCGCTCTCCATGTCCACGCTGTAGGCCAGGTCGCCTGGGACCACCAACTTTTCAATCAAGAGGGACTTGGCGTCACCTGGCTGAAAGCATAGACTAACCCACTAGAGAGGATAATGAGGACAAGGATGATAAGGAGGAGGAGGAGGACACTGGAGCTATTGACACGGGGGAAGGAGGAGGACGAGGAGGAGAGCAGGAGGGGGAGAGGAAGAGTGAGGATCATCCCTCTTGCCATCATCCTCCTTATCCTCCTCCTCCTCTTGTCCTGTGCCTTCACCGTGTGGTTTCCTCTCTCTCTCTCTCTCTCTCTCTTTGTTTTCTCTATCTCTCTCTCTATCTCTCTCTTTTTCCTCTTTCCCCTTTCCCAGTCACCAGGCTCCTTCCCGCGCCGCCGCGGCGGCATGGGGCCGCAGGGCCCTGGGCCCTGGGCCCTGGCCCTGGCGCCAGAGCCAGAAAAATGGCTCTGCGCGCGAGGAAGGAGGAGAAGGCGGATGTGTGGGCTCAGAGAGTTCCCCCCGCTCTCCTCCTCCTCGTCCTCCTCCTCCTCCTCCTCCTTCTCGTCCTCCTCCCCCGTCACCTCCTCTCCCTCCTCCTCCTCCTCCCCCGCCTCCTCTTGCTTCTCATGTTCCTCCATCTCTTCTTCGGCTGTCCATGGGCATTGGAGGGCGCAAGAAAGAACAAGACCTTCGAGCAAGCAGGACCCAGCGACATTTCGAAACATGAAGAGCAAATGCGTGGAAAGTTCGAGAAAGGAAGGATGATATGACAACTAGTTGTGAGTATATGTGAAAATATGCGCAACTTGTATATCATACCTCATATATTATTATAGTGCTTAACAACAAGACTTTCCCATACAAACCTAGTATTTCCTAACATACATGATTGCTATACTAGTTAAGTTCTTATTTTAAGAACTATGAGACCTCAGGGGATCCGGTGACGAATCCCAAACCGGCGCCCTCGCTTGAGACATCCTCACAAAACCGGCCCCGGGGGAGGTGCCCAGAGGAGCCCAGAGCGGCCTCCGGCACCGTTTCCGGACAGATCCGGTGGATCCGGTGACGAATCCCAAACCGGCGCCCTCGCTTGAGACATCCTCACAAAACCGGCCCCGGGGGAGGTGCCCAGAGGAGCCCAGAGCGGCCTCCGGCACCGTTTCCGGACAGATCCGGTGGATCCGGTGGATCCGACGAATCCCAAACCGGCGCCCTCGCTTGAGACATCCTCACAAAACCGGCCCCGGGGGAGGTGCCCAGAGGAGCCCAGAGCGGCCTCCGGCACCGTTTCCGGACAGATCCGGTGGATCCGCTGGATCCGGTGACGAATCCCAAACCGGCGCCCTCGCTTGAGACATCCTCACAAAACCGGCCCCGGGGGAGGTGCCCAGAGGAGCCCAGAGCGGCCTCCGGCACCGTTTCCGGACAGATCCGGGATCCGGATCCGCTGGATCCGGTGACGAATCCCAAACCGGCGCCCTCGCTTGAGACATCCTCACAAAACCGGCCCCGGGGGAGGTGCCCAGAGGAGCCCAGAGCGGCCTCCGGCACCGTTTCCGGACAGATCCGGTGGATCCGGTGACGAATCCCAAACCGGCGCCCTCGCTTGAGACATCCTCACAAAACCGGCCCCGGGGGAGGTGCCCAGAGGAGCCCAGAGCGGCCTCCGGCACCCTTTCCGGACAGATCCGGTGGATCCGCTGGATCCGCTGGATCCGGTGACGAATCCCAAACCGGCGCCCTCGCTTGAGACATCCTCACAAAACCGGCTCCGGGGGAGGTGCCCAGAGGAGCCCAGAGCGGCCTCCGGCACCGTTTCCGGACAGATCCGGTGGATCCGCTGGATCCGCTGGATCCGGTGACGAATCCCAAACCGGCGCCCTCGCTTGAGACATCCTCACAAAACCGGCCCCGGGGGAGGTGCCCAGAGGAGCCCAGAGCGGCCTCCGGCACCGTTTCCGGACAGATCCGGTGGATCCGCTGGATCCGGTGACGAATCCCAAACCGGCGCCCTCGCTTGAGACATCCTCACAAAACCGGCCCCGGGGGAGGTGCCCAGAGGAGCCCAGAGCGGCATCCGGCACCGTTTCCGGACAGATCCGGACAGATCCGGTGGATCCGCGCCCCGGGGGAGGTGCCCAGAGGAGGAATGAGGAGGAGGAGGAGGAGGAGGAGGAGGAGGAGGAGGAGGAGGAGGAGGAGGAGGAGATGATGGAGCTGCGGGGTGGAGGAGGACAGACGGAGGCAAGAGAAGGATGGAGGAGGAGGAGGAGGAGGAGGAGGAGGAGGAGGAACCTCATCCTCACCCTCGCCAACAAGCGCACGCACCTTCTTCTATATACAGAAACTCCCGATCAACCGCAGAACGGCCGGCTAGTAGTCTTAGTCGTAGTCGTAGTCGTAGTCGGAATAGTAGTAGCAACAGTAGCAGTAGTAGTAGTAGTAGTAGTAGTAGTAGTAGTAGCGGTAGTAGTAGTAGTAGTAGTAGTAGTAGTAGTAGTAGTAGTAGTAGTAGTAGTAGTAGTAGTAGTAGTAGTAGTAGTAGGTATAGTAGTAGTAGTAGTAGTAGTAGTAGTAGTAGTAGTAGTAGTAGTAGTAGTAGTAGTAGTAGTAGCAGTAGTTAGTAGTAGTCGTAGTAGTAGTAGTAGTAGTAGTAGTAGTAGTAGTAGTAGTAGTAGTAGTAGTAGTAGTAGTAGTAGTTAGTCGTAGTAGTAGTAAGTCGGTAGAGTAGTAGTGTAGTAGTGGTAGTGTAGTTAGTGGTAGTGGTAGTGGTAGTAGTAGTAGTAGTAGTAGTAGTAGTAGTAGTAGTAGTAGTAGTAGTAGTAGTAGTAGTAGTAGTAGTAGTAGTAGTAGTAGTGGTGGTGGAGGTGGAGGACGAGGGAGATAGAGGCAGGACGATGAGGTCGTAGCCAGGAGGAAGAGCACGTCGGGGAGGAGGAGGAGGTAGAGGCGAAGGGAGGAGGAGGAGGAGAGGGAAGAGGAGGAGGAGGAGGAGGAGGAGGAGGTGAAGGGAGGCTTCACCTGGGCGGCGCTTTGCCCCCAGGAGCGAGAGGTCGCGGCGGCCTCCCGCCTCGCCCTCGCCCGGGACCGCTGCGCGGCGCGGCCGGGCGCAGGCGCCGGGCCCGTTGCATTTCGATCGATGCGCTTCGATACCGTCAGCCTAGCGCAGAGGGGGGTACCCAGACATGCTCGCGTCGTGACACAAATCAGGGCGGGAGGTTTTTTGTTATCTTCAGCCTCAAGGGCCCTCGCCGGGCCCCAGGACCGTCAAGCAACGACTCAGCCCCGGGGAAGGGTCGAGGCTGCTGGGGACCGCACGTGTCTGGGTAGGGGGAGGGGGGAAGCCTTCTCAGAAGAAGCCGATTCTTACAAGGCGCGGACCTTGTCTGTAGATGTAAGCCCCGCGCCTTCTAAGGAGCAGCTTCCGTCTGAGGAGTCTTCCCCCTGCCCCTACACCCTGTGCGCGCTGCCAATGCCGATCTTGCCCGGCTCGTTCCCTTCAGATCCTACTATAGGCCTCCAAGGTGGGTCGGATTGGTTGGGGTCGGAGGGTCGCGCCGCATCGCCGATCATCGACGATGTGGCTCGACTTGGAGTCCAGTTTTCTCCACATTGACGTCGCTCATGCTTCGCCGACTTCGCCGATGCATCGCCTGCAGGGCTCGATCGGCTTCCAGCGGATGCTTCTCAGCTCCTTCCTGTGCCGTCGTTGCCGCGAAGGTTGGACCCCATCTGCTCGGACCCCATCTGGGAGGCCCCTAATCCTGGCGTCTCGTTTTTGTTCACGCCGGGTGTTTCAGATCGGCTTCGGACCAGGGGGGGCCTCATGGCGAGGGGGATGTGCATGTACAAGTTTTCAACCACGCTCTGTCCACAAAATTGGTGACGATGGTGTTCGAAGTGTTTCAAGGCGTTTCGCGTCGGCGCCAGTTTTTCTGCCCATGCACCTCTGACGTGCACGGCGTCTCCTCTCTCTCTCTCTCTCTCTCTTCGGGCCCCGGGGCTCTCGCAGGTCGATCTGGCTCGAGCAATGCTCAGAAAGATTGGTTCTGCAGGCTCCGGTTGCAATTTTTCACGATGACTAAATTTGTTTCGCACCCTCGGATCTCAGGGTCGGTGTTTGGGTGATCCGATGCGGCCCGATCTTTGCATGGCTTGGTTGTGTATCCTCGCGCGGCCGATCCGATTCGATTCTGGCTCCGTGCCCATGCCCCCCGATCTGGCCGACGTTCTGATTCAAACGGATCTCCCGATTCGATGCTGACTGTTTTTTTGCCGTCTGGCCGGTCCATCGGGGCAAGCGGCAGCGACATTCGATTCGTACCGTTGCTGCCGCCTCCCGCTATCGGCGCCATGGATGCAGGGCAGGGCGCGGCCGACACAGTTTGGCTCCGCAGAGGCCGAGCTCTTCTGCCCACGCGGCGACTCCGGCCCCTGGCAGGGGAGGGCCGTCGGTGTGAGCAGGGGCGCGGGGAACCCGCCGATCGCCCATATCGGGTATAGCCAGGACCCCAGGTAAGGGGACCCCGTTAGTGGTAGGGCCCTGGGGCCCTTGAATTGGCCATAACCACTAAACCAGGTCTGCCGTAGCTGGTGTTTTTCGGGTGACGGCAGTTCCTGTTAGTGGAACGGGGCGGGGGGGCCTCCCCCAGTGCACATCATTAAACCAGACTCCACCAAACCCAGTTCTGCCAACGCCCGACCATGGCTGACTGGAGATGTGCAGAAGCAGCATCTCTTGGACTGGTGCTGGGCCCCTCTCGCCGGCGCGCCGCGGCGCGCCGCGGGCGGCGCCAGAGGCGCCGCCTGGGGGGCCCCGGCCCCGATCTCAGAATCCCGCACGGAGCTCCGATAGCCTCCTCCTCCTCCTCCTCCTCCTCCTCCTCCTCCTCCTCCTCCACCTCCTCGTCCTCCTCCTCGTCCTCCTCGTCCTCCTCGTCGTCCTCCTCGTCGTCCTCCTCGTCCTGGCCGCGCGAGGCGCGGCGCGCGGTGCGCCTCGCGCCTCTGCGGCGCCCCCCCCCGTCCCTCTGCGAAGGGCAGCTCTCGCAAGCCAGCGGCCCCCGCGCGCGAGGCGCGGTGGTCCGCGCGCCCATTGGAGGCGACGTGCTCACGCAGCTTTCCCGCTCTGCCTGGCGCGGCCGCCCGCTCGGCCCTGTTCCCACCTTTGCATGCTGGCCAATTCGCTCTTCGGTGCCCCCGTTTAGCTCTACCGCTGGTGCAGCCAACGCTGCCTCGTCGCCGACGAAGAAAAGTGTTTACGCAGCCCGCACATTCTCCCTCGGCGTTCCTGCGTCGGCGCTCGCGGTCCGATCGGCGCGATCAAGCCCCTTCCTTCTTTGTTCGCATTGTTTTCCTTGTCCATTTCGTGCCTCAGCCCGCTTCTGGTGCATCTCGCCGCTGGCGTTGACCAGCGCCTGACCGACGTGCACCGCCTGGCGCTTGCGGAGCCGTGTATGCCGGTGTTTGCTCCTCCGCGGGAGTGCTCGGTGCACGCGTGATCGAGGGGGGAAACTGAGTAACTGTCTGCGAGGAGGAAAAAGCACCGACACCGCTGCCCCTCCTCGAATTCCTTTTTTGTGGACCGCCTTAGGGGCTCGTCGCCACCGCTGGATTTGCCTCGAAAGTCTTGCCATAACGCACCCCAGGAGAGGTCTGGGGAGCAGCAGCATCGCTATCTTTTCGTTTCCCCAGAAACGCGGGGAGTACGACCAAGATGTCGCGGGAACTTGTCGATGCAGATCTTTGTCAGGGTCCATGTCGCCCGTTACCGATTCGCGAGGATGATCAATTGACGCTGACCGATATTGACGTTGACCAAGATCGACACGACACTTCCGCGTTCAGTGTTGGTCATGGTTTCCGTTGTTTCACCCCTTGTCTTGGCCAAGCCCAAAGGTGTTGCATGCGTCGGGCTTTCACCAGTATCTCTTCCGTTGCGTCGCGCCAAACTTGAAAAAGGTCAGGGCGATCCCTTCGATTGAACATCTGTTTCTGTTTCATTCCCAGGGCCCCGCGCTTTGCGGTTGTCTTTGCGGTGCTTTTTCTGTGCCAGACGTCGCCGGGCCGAGCTGGGGTTTTCGTTGTGGTGTTTTTTTTTTTGTGTGTGTGTGTGTGTTCCCCTTGCGTTGTTCGTTACAGGCCCACGCGAGCTCGGTTCTCCAATTACCATTCTCGGCCTTTCGCAGAGGGGGTGATGGGGGAGGGGGAAGGTTTCTTCGAAACACCCCTGCCTCTTAGAATGCGCGCGCGTTGTCTATAAACGTAAAGCCGGCGTCTTCTAAGTAACAACCATATTATACGAAACCTTCCTGCCTCCCCTTACCCCCGTTGCGCGCGCTGCCAACATTCTATTCGCAGTGATTCCGCCCCATCGTGTTTCCAGCCTCCTGCATCGATCCTCAAATCCTCGAAGTTCGGCGGCGGCGGCGAGCGGTTCCCCCCCAGTGGTGGGCCGCGCCCGCCAGGCGCGGATGCGTGTGCGCTGCCTGCGGAGCTGTCTCGGGTGAGGGCGCAGAAGCGCAAGGCCGCCCCTCCGCTGGGGGGTGTCGAAGCGCACGCATCGGCTGCAAACCACCGAGCGGCCGTGTGCAGAGGGGGGCGGGTTCGGGGACCCAAACTCCGCATACACACAACATGTCGGATGCCCGCGCGGTTTTCTCGGATCGGCGTTGCAGCCCACCGGCGGCGCCTCTGGCGCCGCCCCTGGTTCGCCCCACGCGCCAGGGAAGGGGTTTCAGCGCCGACCCGAGAAATCACCGCGGACCTCAGACTTTTTGTGTTCGTGCCACTGTTTGTTCCTGGATAGCGGCAGTTGGCCCTCGGGGAGGTCCTTCAAAATTGCCATGGCTGGGCGCAGCTCGAGAGATCTGTGCGGTTGGACCGCGGCCCACTACCCAGACCCCAGACGCCATGTTTTTTTCATAACGTCGACCCTGGAAGTCTCGACTCATTCCCTGGGACCCATTTTTTGCCCTGAGTCGTTTTTTGACCGTCCAGAGTCCCAGTGAGGGGGCCCTCAGAGGCCCAAAATGAGAACAACAATTTCACGTTGTGTTTTTTCCCTGACTCGATGGGGTCTTGGTACGAGGTGCCGTTGTCTCACATCGCCCTGCTCCGACATGGGGAGTGAGTGGCTTTCGGTGCACGGCCTGCCCGTCATATTGTGCACGCTGCGACGGCAGCGGCCCACGTCGCCTTGGGTTTGAACTTTGGCCCCCCCTGCGCCGGCAGAGTGCTGCGCGCCAGAGGTCACTCCTGCGGAGGGACGCTCGTCGCGTGCCGCCGAGTGCGGTCATCGGCGCTGACTTGGAGCGGAGTGGTCTGTTAGGCCCTGGCGCGTCCAGAATTCTAGGGCTCCCAGATGGGGTCCGAGTAGATGGGGTCGGGAGATCGCGCCGCATCACGGGTGCATCGCCGATGCGGAGCCTGTGTTTCCCCACGCCGACGTCGCCGATGCATCGCCGACGTCGCCGATGCATCAACGATACATCGAATCCTCGATTCTTCGATCCTCGAGCGCCGACGGCGTTGGCGGCCGCAAGGTCGGCCCGCGGATCGGCGTTCGAGGTTCGATGCCCGAAGTTCGATGATCGAAGTTCGAAGCACGATGTTCGAAGTTCGAGCTCGATGGTGTTCGATCTTCGACGATCGAAGGTAGGTTTTCGGACGCTTCTGGTCCTCTTCGGACACTCCGAGGCTCCTGGGGAGCTTTTGAGGCCTCAGAGGCCTCTCGAGCTGGGACCTCTGGAGGCCCCATCGGTGGAGGATCACGTCGGTCGTCGTCGTCGTCGTCGTCGTCGTCGTCGTCGTCGTCGTCGTCGTCTTCGGTCGTCGGTCGTCCGTCGTCCGTCGTCGTCGTCGTCGTCGTCGTCGTCGTCGTCGTCGTCCTCCGTCGTCCTCCGTCGTCCTCCGTCGTCGTCGTCGTCGTCGTCGTCGTCGTCGTCGTCGTCGTCGTCGTGGTCGTCGTCGTCGTCGTCGTCGTCGTGGTCGTCGTCGTCGTCGTCGTGGTGGTCGTCATCGTCGTCGTCATCGTCATCGTCTTCGTCGTCGTCGTGGTCGTCGTCGTCATCTTCGTCGACGTCGTCGTTGTCGTCGTCGTCGTCCGTCGTCCGTTGTCCGTCGTCCGTCGTCGTCCGTCGTCGTCGTCGTCGTCCGTCGTCGTCGTCGTCGTCGTCGTCGTCGTCGTCGTCGTCGTCGTCATCGTCGTGGTCGTCATCGTCGTGGCCATCGTCATCGTCTTCGTCGTCGTCGTGGTCGTCGTCGTCGTCGTCGTGCTCCTTGTGGTCCTTGTGGTCGTCGTGGTGGTCGTCATCGTCAGCGTGGTTGTCGTCGTTGTCGTGGCCGTCGTGGCCGTCGGTGTCTTCGTCGTCGTCGTCTGCGTGGTGATCGTCGTGGTTATCGTGGTGGTGGTGGTGGTGGTGGTGGTGGTGGTGGTGGTGGTGGTGGTAGTCGTCGCCGTCGTCGTCATCGTGGTTGTCGTGGTTGTAATGGTCGTCCTCGTCGCCGGGGTGGTGGTGATGGTGGCATCGTCGTCGAGGGGTTGACTATCGAGGATCGGGACTGGGGGGTTCAGGAGGAGGCGGAGGAGGAGGAGGAGGAGGAGGCGGAGGAGGGGGGAAGAGGAGGAGAGGAGGAGGAGGAGCGAGGAGGAGGAGGAGGAGGAGGGGAGGAGGAGGAGGAGGAGTCGAGGAGGAGGAGGAGGAGGAGGAGGAGGAGGAGGAGGAGGGAGCAGAGGAGGAGGAGGAGGAGGAGGCGGAGGAGGAGGAGGAGAGGAGGAGGAGGAGGAGGAGGAGGAGGAGGAGGAGGAGGAGAAAGAGGAGGAGTGGAGAGGGGAGGAGGAGGCGGAGGAGAGGAAGAGGTGGAGGAGGAGGAGGAGAAGGAGGAGGAGGGGAGGAGGAGGAGGGGGAGGAGGATTAGGGGAGGAGGAGGAGCAGGAGGAGGAGGAGGAGGAGGATTGCGAGGAGGACGAGGATGTAGAGAAAACGGAGGAGGATGCATAGGCGGAGGCGGATGAGGTGGAGCAGGAGGAGGTGGAGTCGGAGGAGGAGTCGAGGAGGAGGAAGAGGAGGAGGTGGAGGAGGTGGATGCGGAGGAGGAGGAGGCGGAGTCGAGGAGAGGAGTCGAGGAGGAGGAAGATGGGGAGGAAGAGGAGGATGGGGAGAACAAGGGGGAGGAGGAGGTATAAGACCTCTTGGACCTCTTGACCAAGCACAGGGTCGTGCAGGGGAGGGGGGACGGGAGAGGACGGCATAACCCCGAACGGGGGTGTTTTGGTACAGGCGGAACCCCGCCTCACCGCCACACCACCACACCACCGCAACCTCTACTGGCCAGTTAGCCGTCCACAGGAGGGCAACCTACCCAGCAGCGGCGGACGGTCCGCCGTTCCCTCCCTCGGGCACAGCAGCTTTTGCGTACGTTCTCGCCAGGCCGCCGAGATCTCCCGCATCGAGGGCAGCCTGCAGGGCCTTCGGCACCCCATCTCTGCGGGGGTACTTGCCCTCCTCGATGCGATTTAAATTCTCGCGGCCCTTTCGGGAGATGCCCGTGCATTTCGCCGCAAGGTGGCGCCCGTCCACCGTGGCATACTTGTCACAGGTGGTGCAGAAACTAATGAGGAACCGCTCCCACCGCTGGACGGTGTGGGAGGGATGCACTTCCCGTCCCGCCGCCAACCCACCGCCTTCCGCTCCCACCACACAGACAGGGAGGCCACGAAATTGGGTCTTGGCGGCCTCGATGAGGCGAAATGCGGACACCACAATATTGCACTCGCTGCACCTCCACGCTCCCTTGCTTCGCTCGAAAAGGTGGCTGGAGTCCTGCAGAGCTACCTTCAGCTTCGACGGGGCCGCTCTCCTCTGGACTGTGGCCCTGACCCCACTCCGTGGGTCGGCCTCCTCCGCCAGGGCCAAAGCGCGCCTCGCGCGCGCTCGAACAATGGTGCCGATCGCATCCCAGTGGTCCGTCTGAGGCTCACCCCCTTCCACCGACACCGCCCACCCTCTCCCCGCCGCAGCCCCCGCCTCTTCATCAGCCAGGGCATTGCCCTGAATTGGGTAGGGATCGATTGGCTCGCTGAGAGAAGTGGCTTCGTCCATGTGAGAGGGGATCCATTTGAGGTTCACCTCATTTGACCGAGTCTGGAGGGCCACCCGAAATCGAGACCACAAATCTTGGTTTGCCCCGTTTTTCTGGAACTGCCGACCTCGCTCCCATCCTTTCATGAGAGGCTCGTGGTCGGTCACGAACAGAAGCCGCACAGGGATATGCTCTAACGCGATGGCGAACGCGAGCAGCTCCGATCGAGGGACCGTTCGCCGCTGCCCCCTTTACAGGGGTCGATCACCCCCACGCCAGCCTCTAGCCCCCTTTGCCGTCAGGCTGCATGGTGATCACCGCGGTGCCACACCTACGCCTACGTGGGTCCGCACTATGCCCCCCCCCCCCCCCTCGATCCGTCTCCGAAAACCATCACACTCCCAAATGTGGGGTGCGGCTCAACAGCAGAAACCGGGAGCGGCCCCAGGGCCCGAATGTGTTTTTCAGGAAAGAACGAGAGATGGGTGTAGCTCTTAGGCGGCACGCCTCGGAGCCACAGTACGGGACAATTTTCCCAGTGCGCCTGGGCCTGCGGCTTGATACATTCGCTCTTCTCGAATTCTTCAAAACCGACGTTACACGGACACTCCCAAACACGGTGAAAGAGCGTTTCCGTGCCCTGCCGGCACCTCGGGCACAGCGTGTCTACATCATATCTTAGAGCCGCCTGCTTCTCTCGTGTGAACTGCCTGCCAGACACCGCTGCATTCTGAAGGCCAACAAGATCATACGCTTCGTTCGCAAGAAACATGCGGATTTCACGGCCTGCCAATAGTACGCCCCCCCCCCCCAAGCTCCAGCCCCTCACCCCCATAATGAGAAGCAGCCTGGGTCCCAAACTGGGACGCCAAGTCCTGGACTAGATCGCTGAGCAATTCGGCAAAACCAGCGTCCCCCAGCTCAAACCCCTCATCGCTCGCGCAGGGCAGCCTCCAAACCTCGCTCCCACTCGCGGTCGGACGGCGCCACGAGTCTCGGGCAGACTGCGATCACCGCACTGACTGGCCCCCGCACCCGACTCCAACGCAACTTGGCAGGCCAGAGACGGGGGTAAGATGCTTCCACGCCGCACGGATACGGTCGTGGAGTTCTGGCGAAGATTTCCAAACCAAGCAAAACTCGAGGACCAACTGACGCCGCAACTCGAGCCCATCTTTGACCCCTAAGTGCATAGCGAGCACCGTAGTCAGACAACGGCCATACCCCGTCCCAGCGATAGCCTGACCAGCCTGCAGCCTAAGGGTTCGAATCTGGCTCGGGCTCACACCATGCACCTGGTGCCCGTACACGGCTCGGGGAAGGGCCCCAGTGGTCCAATGAGATTGCGATATCTCAGACAATTTGGCCGAACGCCTGAATTTCCTGATCTGACGGAACCTTTTACTGGCCTTAGCAAGCCGATTCTTCGCACGCTTAAGAATCCGAGTCTTGCCTACAGTGGTGTCGCACCCTAGATCAACTGCCGACGTCTCGACCACATGTGGGACACCGGCAGCCTTGAGCGCCCGACTTATCCGAGCTCTGACCTGGGACGACGTGGCCAGGACCGTGCTCTTATCCGAAATCACTAGCCTAGCCTGTTGCAATCCTTCGGCTAAGACTTCCGCAGAGGCTGCCAGGGACGTTGCCACGCTGTCTGCAGTGCCTTCGGCCCTCGAGACCGTGATATCGATAAAGGACCACAACCTACACATCTTGACCTGCTGGTGGGTACGGTCCAACATTTGAAACATAAGCAACTTCGCTAGCGGCACACCCAGGCAGGATCCAGCAACGAGGGAACGCGTTGGGTATATGGCTATGCTGGCTCCTCCTTGGCTCTTCAAAAACCTGGGCGCTAAATCAACCTGAGCCTCAAACGCGAGCACCAGAGCAGGGATACCGACGTCGGAGGCAGTCTTTATTTGCATAAGCAGGCTCGAAGAATCGTACAACTGTTCTATATCTAGCAGGAGCCGCAACCTGTGCTCCTGCGAGTACGGCTGTCTCGTCAAGTAGGCTGCGCAACAACGCCGCTCGCAAGGCTGAACTTCCTTTTATAGCTGTGTCCCAGAACTGGTCCAGCCCTGAGCTCCAAACATCGACCAGACCCGAACGAACTCGACTGCAAAGCTTGACACCATTCGTGAGCATGCCGATCGTTCGGGGCAAGAGTGCACAAATCGTGGCAAAGACCTGCTCAGGCCACACGTCTTCCAACTCAACTCGATTTGGAGGAGGTAGAGGAGGAGGAGGAGGAGGAGGAGGAGGAGGAGGAAGAGGAGGAGGAGCAGGAGGAGTTTTGCGGCGATGGTTGCTTTGACGACGGGGCCGGCGCCCTGCCGCGCGCGCGCGCCCGCCGCGGGGGCGCGCTGTGCCGGCGGCCGGTCAGGCGGTGGAGGACGAAGACTTCGACCTCGCCGCCGAGCTCAGGCAGCGGGAGTTGGAGGCCGCCTCGTCTCAGAAGGACGAGGAGGAGGAGGAGGAGGAGGAGGAGGAGGAGGAGGAGGAGGAGGAGGAGGAGGAGTGTGGGAGGAGGAGGGGGAGGAGGAGGAGGGGGAGGAGGAGGAGGAGGAGGAGGAGGAGGAGGAGAAGTTGGAGGGGGAGGAGGAGGAGGAGGAGGAGGAGTTACGGAGTTGCGGATATTGCGACCATGTCGGTTACGATTAAGTTTCGCCCGCTCAGAGGAACTCGAAGAGATTGAAGAGATTGCGAAGCAATACACACATGGACACTTCACTCCCTGACCACGACTCACCCGCGATGACCAGGGAGCCCCGCACCAGGACAGAGTAGCCGTTCACCATATTGCGCGAGACGCTCAGGTCCTTCCAGCTGTCAATAATGTCCAGGGGCGAGATGAGAGCCCGAAATCAAAGTGATTTGAAACCGCAAGAGCGCCTCTGATATCAAACAAACAGCGAATATACAGTCCCACAGACAAGAATAAGCAATACCATAGGCCTTGCTTGCCCCGTGAGCCTGGGCCAGGCTCAGCCGAACTATAACCAAGCCCCCTTCGATGCCGTGAAGAAGAACCCGACTCTGGCAGTGGCCCGAACAAAATGCCCGACCGAAAAAATCCACCCTTCTCTCCCAGCAACGCGACGACCCAGAACAGGAAGCCGAGTACACGAAGGTGAAGGTGTGGTCGAAAGACTTCAACTCTGCTTGCAATCCGCCGATCCCGATCCCCCACGTAGGACATCAGCGTCTCGGAGGAGCCTCGCACGCTCGGTGCCAGTTGCCCATCGCTCGGCATCCGACTGGACAGGGGTAGCCGCCGCCGTCGCCGTCCCGAGCTCGTGCAGTAGCGCACCCACGTCCGCGACAGCACCTCCAGCGCAATCATCCGTGAAAGGGGGCAGCGATGAGGGGGACGAAGCCGCGCACCTCCGCCAGGTGGACGAACCCACGCCTGCGCCGCCCCCTTGAGCCTGACGACCCGCCTGACCGCCAGGGACTCCAGCGTCAGGCCGCACCGCTGGCTCCTCAGCCGCCTCCACCGCATCTGGGGCAGATACCCCCCGCAGGGGCCCCGCGGGAGCCACGACACCAGGATGCGCGGCGGCGCCAGTCACACGGCCAACCGGAGAATCACAGCCTCCAGGGAGACCAGCGACGGCCGGAGCAGTAGCATGAATTCCAGGAAGGCGATCATCGGCATGGCCGTCGACAGCAGCAGCATGAACTGAACCTCCATCCACGACTCCGCCCCTCGGGGCTGGCGCAGGCGGCGCTGCCGACGCAACCTCGGCTCTCGATCGCATCGACCTCAGCCTGCGCCGCACAGCTGCGGGCCTGTGTCTGGTTAGCCGCGGGGCGTGCGCTGAACCAGAAACATACCTCCGCGCGGCCGTCGGAGAAGCGGTGGCCGCGGTCCACCACGACAGCGTATCCAGCCTGCTCCTCGAGGGCCGACAGGGCGCTGAGAAGCACAGCCCGCGCCGTGGGCGACGTACACGGCCGCGCTGGGTCGAGGACCACCTTGACCTTACCGCGGCCTTGGATGGCGGCGGCTCCGAAGGTGAGGTGCCCGGCGTCTCCAGCGACGATCTGATCGCGCAGCCAACGGAGGCGCGCGTGGACCACCATGGCCCGAGGGAAGCGCAGAGGCGCTGAGGAAGTAAGGGAACAAGCAAGGGCTCGAGCGAAATGGTTACTGGAGGAGATGGAGGAGGAGAAGGAGGAGGAGGAGGAGGAGGAGGAGGAGGAGGAGGAGGAGGAGGAGGGGGGGGGAGGAGGAGGAGGAGGAGGAGGAGGAGGAGGAGGAAGGAGGAGGAGGAGGAGGAGGGAGGAGGAGGAGGAGGAGGAGGAGGAGGAGGAGGAGGAGGAGGAGGAGGAGGAGGAGGAGGAGGAGGAGGAGGAGCGAGGAGGAGGAGGAGGGGGAGGGGGAGGGGAGGGGAGGAGGGGGAGGGGGAGGAGGAGGAGGCGGAGGAGGAGGAGGAGGAGGGGGAGGAGGAGCAGGAGGAGGAGGGGGAGGAGGAGGGGGAGTTGGAGGCCGCCTCCTCGCAGCGGTCGGGCCAAGACTCGGAGGATCGGCGTCGGGCCTGGGTCAGGTGTAACGACAGGGGGGGATAGGCATATCAAGCAGTGGCGAAGCGTCCTGGCGTGCCTGTAGGCCTACCAAACAATGTCCTAAGAACCTTTTGTGGTCTGCACGAGATGTTCTTAGGATATTTCTGGCCGGGGCTGTCTCGTTTTAACACATCGGGTCTATGGTCTAAGAACATGGTTTTTGTACTTAGAACACTTTCGGGTTCTAAGGACATCTCGTGGTAGGCCTATAGAAATGCCGGGACTGTCGGTCCATGCTCAAGCACCGGGGTTGATTCATCGACCTCATCGCCCACCGATCGCCGATAGGTGTCCGATAGCCTCAACCTGCCGAGGAACGTGCGGAGTCACCATCGGGGGCCTATCGCCGATCTAGCGGCGATGTATCGCCGATTCCAGGTCGATGCTTCCCCCACTATGACCATCCCCCCTATCGTTGCCCCTCCCTCGGGGGAGGTGAAAAGGGGCGTGCCTTCTCAGAAGGCTCGGAGGTCCCCCGGCCTTCTGAAAAAAGTCTGAGCCTCTCCCGAAGGCGCAAAAAGAACTTCTCAGAGGGCGTGAGGGCTTTGAGAAGTCTCGCCGCCGTCTGAGAAGGCCTTCTCCTTCTCATTTCCCCCCTTCTCTCGCCGCCGAGTGGAAAGAAGAGTATTGATACTGATGGACCAATTTCCACAACCTTGGTGCAACGTTGTGCTGTAGTATCGTCCGACTTGTCGTTGATTTCGTCGATGTCGTCGCCGATGATGCCTTCTAGTTTGTCTTCTCATATATCAACTTAATGTTCTGTCTGTTTTTGTTGTTGTCGTTGTGGTTGTCGTCGATGTTCCGCTTTGTCTTCATCATCTGTTAATATCGTTTCATCGATGCCGTTGTCGAGATTGGATGTTGATTCCTGGACGTACGTCTTGTTCTTTCCACTCATAATCTGCTTTTGGTGCAGTAGTGTCATTACGTCTGCTTCTCTCAACGTGCCATGTCTTCTTATAGTTCTGTGCTGACATGAATTTTCGCAGCATGATGTGCTGTTTCTGGATGTACGCCTCAGTGCCTTGTTGTTATTGTTCTGCTGTATTAAGCCGCTGCTGGTAGTGCTGGTTGACAGCTCGTATCTGCTCACTGGCGCTTGCCATGATGAGGTGTGCTGCTTCTTGGTTGTTGGATTTGGTCAGTCGACTGCTCTCTGCTTGTTTGAGTCGTTGAGCTGTCCGTACCGCTTCTTGTGCTGCAGTGACCTGTTGGTCGACATCTGCTTGAGTTTGTGCAGTGCTACGTAAGCTGTGTACTTCCTTTTTCCACTTCCTCCTCGTCCTCCCTTCCTCTTTCTCCTCCTCCTCCTCCTCTTCCTCCTCCTCCTCATTTTCCCATTCGTTTCTCATCGTCGTCGTCGTCGTCGTCCTCCTCCTCCTCCTCCTCCTCATCCTCCTCCTCCTCCTCCTTGGGCCAAGACAACCTCTAGCAACACCCGAACTTTCGGCCTCCTGGGGCCCTCCCCAGGCTCTGCTGCCGTCAATCTCTGAGATCCGACGTCTCGAAACAAACGGCAACATCGTGAAACATCACTTCTGGATCCGGATCGATCCGTGATGGTCCCGGGGCCCGAAGCTGAGCGAAGTCGCCCGTTGTGAGAAATTGCAGTGCTAGGATCTCAGGGAGCGATGACGGCCTCGGGGCGGGGACTCGATCCTGGACCGAGAAAAGCTGGGATGCATTTCCTGGAAGATTGATTTCTGAATCGGCGCTGGTGCACCCGTTGTCGAAAACTGGCCTTACCTGGCCGAGTCTGTTTTTCTCGGGCTTCACCCCGCTTCTAAATCGGCTGAATCCCGCTCAGTCCAGCTTGCTCCTGGGCTTACACATTCGGGCCTAACCTGGCCCAATGGCCCCTGAATCGAGCTCAGTACGCACCCCTCAGTCGTTCTGGCGGAATCGCCACCCACCAAATCACCCCAACCCAACCCGAAGGCCTCGATCTGCCCTCCATTTCCAGTGGGGGGGGGTGCCGGGGAGCATCCAGAAATCACGCACATGGAACCCGTACCCCTCCAACCCGAAATCGGGCTCTTGGGGCGGTGCCGGCGCCCTCCCGCCCCGCCCGTCCCCGACCCGGAAGTCGGGTCTTCGGGCTGGGTTGGGGTTTGTCTGGCAGCACCGAGCGCGCTCCACTGCTGCAAAAGCGCCCGACCGCAAACCTCCGACAGACATATTCGCGTGTCTCGACGTGCTGCGTTCGGGGTGCTCCGGGTTTCCCCTCAGGTGCACCTCGCGCACGGGTTCTCATTGTTGGGTTTCTTGCGAGGGTTTCTTGTGGCCGCGCCCGCACTGTAGTTGCTCTATGCGAGAACTGGAGCGCGCTCGTGTACGGCAGGTGGTCGATATCACCTCTCGGGGCTCGTTTCTACCGGGTCCCGCTCCAACATCTCGCGCCCGTCCTCGCCCCAGAGGAGGGCCCGGCGCCCCTCGCCGCCTCCTCTTCTCGGGAGGAGAGAAATCACACAGACACAATGAATCGTCGATTCCCAGGAAGACATTGGGAAACATGGGAAGTGGGGGGGAAGACAAAAGCCCTGAACATTTTGGGAAATAGGGGGAATCCTGGTAGTTGAGTCTATTGAATTGTATGCGTCCTTGAGCCCCTTCAGTAATGCAGTTTTGATTCGGCTAAATCCCGCTTAATCCGGCTCTATCCCTCTCGATCCGCGGCCTGATCTGGCGCAGCGGCCCCTCCATGGGGCTGCATCCTCCGTGACCTTTCCGACGAAGACCTCGCAGTAGTTGCCTCCTACGTACTTCTTTCTCGGGTGCTGCAAGAAGTGCCCCTGGCCCGAAAGGCGCCCCCAGAGTCTAAAGATGGGTTGGGCCTGTCCCCCTACAGGGCGATTCTGGGCGACAAGCAGTAAATACTCCGAACAAATGTAAAAGTATTCAAACTCATCCAAAAAACCGTCCCCTGACTATTTGTTTAGCTACTTCTGGACATTCCTCCTGCAGAGGGACAGGCCCGACGTAAGTCTAAAGAGGGAAAGGCCCCCCCTCGGCCCGCAGCGCGCCCCTCACGAGGCCCAGAAAAAGCCCCGAGGGGGCTCCGAAACGGAGCGAGAAGCTGGGGGTTGCCGTGGAGTCGGGGGTGGACAGACCTCCTACCCCTAGGGGAACGAAAAGTGTCATGAACATAAAAACTCGTAGATCCGCGCGGATTTCTCGGATCGGCGCTGGGGCCCCCCGGCGGCGCCTCCGGCGCCGCCCCTGGCGCGATCCGCGCGCCAGGGAGGGGTGTCCAGCGCCGATCCGAGAAATCCGCGCGGACCTCCGAGTTGTTATGTTTATGTCACTTTCTATTCCCCTATACCCTAACACGTCGATTAGTGAATTGTCCGTCTTCGGTTCTCGAGAAGGCGCCGCGGCCGTCGTTTTCCAGGCTCGCGCCTGCCAGGCTTTGGCCCGAGGTCGTTTTCACTAAACCACGTTTTACTAAAGGGGTTTCTGTCCATCCCCGATTTCAGGCCCATGCCAAGAAACGCCCTGCTTGCCTCCAGGGTGCCCTGGGTATCGCTGGGGCACCGAGTTGTGACCCGAAGGCCGATGATCTTTTTCGTGGGGGGATGGGATCAGGGGGGACGCATCGATTCCCAATCGCCCATGGATCGCCGATCGGGGCCCGGTACAGGGTCCGGCTCGAATAAGGCACACTTCCTTTTCAGAAGGGGTTCGGTCGGTTCTTTGGTTTGCATGCGTGCCGCTGCCTCTTTGGCGGCGAGCCCCCCTGGTGTTCCCTCGGACTTCCTAGACTCACTTGGAACAAAAAGGGGCTTCGCTCCTTATTTGTCGTTCCTTCGGTCAGGCCGAATACTGTAGCCCATGCCGCGCAGGACCGTGCCGTTTCGCCACCGGCTCGGGGGCCCCTCGCCGATCTTTCGGCGATGCATCGCCGGTTCCACGGCTTGATGTTTTCCCCACCCCTGAGCCGGTTCCCCCCCCCGGTCGCCCCCCGCGTACGTAAAAGTCCTCGGTCGAGGCCGGGGCGTTTGACGTCGGCTGAGATGGCGTCGCTGATGAATTTGTGGCTCGGCCTCCTCGTCCTCGACCTCCTCGTCCTCTTCGTCCTCCTCCTCGTCCTCCTCGATTTGGTTTGCCACAACCCAACCCGATAGAGCGCTAGTAAGCCGTGCGGAACTCCTCAGGCTTTGGCAGTCGGCCAGACCTCTCGAGCAAGGACCCTGGAGCTCCTCCCGAGGCCCGTTGAGCCGCGCTGTATTGGTGCTCTAGAGGCTGTAGGTCCTCTGGAGTGGAGAGATCACAACGGGATTTCCATCCAGATTGATGAAACACCGCCAGCGCTTCTGGCGGACCAGTTAGAGATTGGAATTCAGAGAGTCCACGAGCTAGCACTAGCAGCAAAATTAGGTCACCCTCCTGGGCACAGGGCAACTCTGGACCTGATACGGTCCAGATTGGGGCCCAAGGCTCGAGGACTGAGCTGATCATGAGCTGTGGGTGCAATGGAGTGTGGACTGCTGAGAGAGGTCGTCTGGCGGGGTACGGGACGGACGGGCGGTGTGAGTGCGGGCAGGTAGACACACTCCACCACAGGCTCTACTCTTGTTCCAGGCCTGATGTTGCACAGGCACGATCAGAGTCTGAAGTTTGAGGTGGAAATTTTTGATGTTTCGGGAGAACCTCTGGACAGGAACCCAGAGCAGCTAGCTGAGTTGTCGGACGAGCCTTTTTTAAGAATGGTTCCGGACGGGTCATGCTCGAAGCCCCCCCTCCGTGCGCTCCAGCGAGCAGCATGGGCGATGGCGGTGCTCCCAGCGAGCGGACCTGATCCTGCTCCAGTCTGTGTGATGCGTGGAGTGGTCCACGGCAGTTTTCCTCAGACACCTGCGATGTCTGAGCACGTGGGTGTGGCGCTGTGCGGTCAGGTGGCAAACAAACCATCTCAGCTCGGCGTCGATTGTATGTCTGCGATAAAGCTCGGGCAAAAAGAAATGTCTCAGCAGCTGTCGGTGCGTAGCAAGTTCGCAGGGACCACACAGTTTGCCCACGTTGGAGGGCACAGCTCTCATACAGGAGGTGCGTCATGTGAAAGCGCATCGGACTCAGGCAGTGCTTGACTCTTTGGAGCAGCACGAGCGTGAATATGCCGAGGCCAACCGCATTGTTGATCACCATGCGAAAGTGGCTGTTCGATCGCACCCGTCTGCTGACCCATCGTTCTTGCAGGAGTTAGAGGTAGCCGAGGAGAGCTGCCAACTTCTGTAAGCTGGCTGCCGCCGTCCTGCCGCTTTTTGAGGTCACGCCTTGGTGGCAAAGGAGTTCCGACGTCAACCGCCGTAGGCCGACACATCGAGTGCAACAGGACTGGCATGAATGGGTTGACGGACCTGCAGGCCTCCGCTGTGTGAAGTGTTTCAGTCTCGGGGGTGAGGATATAGCCGAGCTTCCCCTTAATGGTTGCATGGGGGTCCCCCCCCCAACATCCGACCGCTCCTCAAGGACCCCATGGGGCACCTCGTCGTCGCGGCTGGATTGACGACTCGTGCTGCGGGCAGTGCTGGTAGTAAGGTCCATGAGAAGCAGTTCTGGATTGGTTTAAGATGTGGGGGGTGGTCTCAGGGTAGAGCCCTAAAGCTTGCTAAACAGTGTCTCAATCCTGGTCAACACCCCACACAGAAGGGTCAGGAGGTTATAAACCGCTATGCCCAGGGGAAGCCACCGAACCGCAAGGTCAGAGCCTTCCTCGGTCGTAGCGTTGTCCTCCCTCGTTACCCCACGGTTGAGATCGTTGCGGTCCCTGAGTCGACTGAGGTGTCCAGGTCTTTCTCAGCCTCAGGGGTTCCCTCATGAACAGCGAATGGCTGCCCTAGTCGAGAGGATTCGTTTAAAGGAAGCCTCTGCAGGCAAGTAATTCCAAATCGTTTAGTTCTTACGGCCCTAGGAGGGGTAACCGTTGTCCCTTCCAGGCCCGTTTTTGGTGCCGTGCACTTTCCCTTCGGGTCCTTCTATTCCATTCCATTCCTCGTCCTCTTTCCCCTCCTCCTCGTCTTCCCTCTCCTCCTCATCCCTTTCCTCCTCCTTCTCCTCCTCCTCCTCGTCCCCCCTCTCCTCCTCCCTCTCCTCGGTCGAGGCCGGGGCTCGACGTCGGTTGTGATGGCGTGTCTGTTGCTTGTACGGCTTGGCATGCTTCTCGAGCTCGCAGGCGTAGAGCTTGACTCCAACACCAACATCGGCGGCGTGCCTCCACCGAGGGAAGAAGATCCCGATCTCTGTGATGGTGGTAAGATTCTGCCTTCAGGGTGGCCGAACTAGTACCACCAACACCGAAATCTGGTATCATCTTCCCCCTGTGAAGGCAACCCCCTGTGTTGGTGTTGGTGCTCATTTCCAGGCCTCTAACGAACGCCGATTTGTGGCCACATCCACCCTTGGAAACCCGATCTCCCGGCAGTTCCCGGAGGATTTGCTGGAGGATCATGTTCTCACCCTCCCTCCCCGAAACTGTCTGCCAACGAGGTTGCCGGGAATGACACATCGTATCATTGGCACACGCGCGTCGTCTTCCGAGTTGCACGTCTTTACCAATTCGCTCCTAGCGTATGGGACCTGCTCGCTCTCCACCAGTAGTGCGCTGATGTTGTCGTCCGACTGGCGTGCTATCGATGCTGTTATTGGTCTCGAGGCAAGCCGTCGAGGATCGGGGATTGGGGCTCGAGGGTCGAAGTCCCAAGTTGATCCGATCGATCCGATCATTGGCCCAATCCGATTCGATGTTCGATATTCCGACGATCCCATGCGGCCCGATGCTGGCGCGGCGTTGGTTGTGCATTCTTGCGCGGCCGGTCCGATTCGAGTTCGATTCCGTGCCCCCCTGCAGCCCGATGTGACGCGCAGGGAGGGTGGAGGTAGGGTGGAGGAGGGAGGAGGGGAGGAGGAGGGAAGACTCCTCAATCCTCGTCCCGGATCTTCTTCTCTCCCCCTCGATCCACCTCCTCGCATCCTCCGCCCTTCCCCCCGCCCCCTCGTTTCCCCGCTTGATTTCCTCGTCCTGGATCTTCGCCATCCCCCTCGATCCACCTCTTCGCGCCCTCCGCCCTCCCCCCCCCCGCCTCCTTTTTCCCCTCGATCCGGCCAGGTGTCCTCCAGGCTCGGCGCCAGCTGCGGCGCGGAGGGCGGCTCCGCGGAGGGGGCGGCCGTGCAGGTGGGGGATGATGGAGGAGCATCGAGGAAGAAGAGGAGGAAGAAGAGGAGGACGAGGAGGACGATGCGGAGGAAGAGGAGGAGGACGAGGAGGAGGCAGAGGAGGAGGAGGAGGAGGAGGAGGAGGAGGAGGAGGATGCGGAGGAGGAGGAGCGAGGAGGAGGATGGAAGATCGAGGATGTAGGAGGAGGATTCGGGAGCTGATCGATGGCCACTGCCCCCGCGCGCGTACGTTGAGCCCGACCAGCTTGTCTGTGGGGGTGGTGTGCAAAAGTCGTGTCCCAAGGGGGTGCCACTTTTGTACACACATACACACACTCGCACATCCACACATCCATGTATTCACACATTCACACATTCACACATTCACACATTCGCACACTCTCACATTCACACATTCGCACACTCTCACATTCACACATTCACACACTCACACATTCAGACACACCCACACACGCAGAAAAACACACACACATATACACAAATATACACACGCACGCACACCAACACACACGTGCACACGCGCACATGCACACGCACACACACACACTCACTCTCTCACACACAACACACACCACATACCACACAACACACCACACACCACACACCACACACCACACAACACACAACACACATCGCACAACACACAACACAACACACACACGCACGCACGCACGCACACACGCACTCACGCACCTTCTTGCGATTCCTAACCTGTCCCGCGACATTTACCGCTTTCGCGTCCAGTTGCTCCTGAGGGGCAGCCTTGAGGCGTCTGAGGGATAGTCTTGGACCTTCCTTGGGGCTCTCTTGAGGCCTTCGTGGCTGCTTATTCGAGGAAGCCTCAAGCGAAGCGCGACCGAGATTAACGAATCTCGGTCGCGTTTCGCTTGGGACTTCCTACAGCAGCAAACTACCTGGCACACCACGGGGGGGGTCCGCGGGCCGCGGGGGAGGGGCTGAGGAGGAGGAGGATGGCGAGCAGGATGCGGACGCCGGGGACGAGGCGGCACAAGAGCAGGAGAGGATGAGGAAGGCGAGGAAGAAGAGGGCGATGAAGGAAAGGACTAGAGAGGGGCGGGATGATGATGTTGATGACGATGATACTGATGATGATGATGCTGATGATGATGACGATGCTGATGATGATGATGATGATGATGATGATGATGATGATGACGATGCTGATGAGGATGAGGATGAGGATGAGGATGAGGATGAGGAGGATGATGAGGATGATAAGGATGACGGTGACGATGGCGACACTGATGCTGATGATGATGAGGATGAGGGTGATCATGGTGCCGCTGATGATACTGATGATGAGGAGGATAAGGATGATAATGATGATAATGAGGAGGACGAGGATGAGGATGGTGATGCTGATGACGACGATGATTATGATGATGCTGCTTCTGCTGATGATGACGAAGGTGGTGGTGATGATGATGATCGTGATGATGCTGGTGATGAGGATGACGATGATGCTGATGACGCTGATGGTGAGGATGCTGCTGATCATGGTGCGGTTGATTATGAGGATGCGGATGAAAATGATGATATTGATTAGATGTTGCTGCTGACGATGATGATGCTGATGATGTTGTTGATGATGCTGATGATGATGAGGAGGAGGAGGAGGAGGATGAGGACTAGCCGAAGATATATTGCGAAGGCCTTACGGCCAGTGCCGCCGACCCTGAGAACGACGAAGTTGAACACGTGGGTGGGGGCAGGGGGAGGAGGATGAGTGGGAGGTGGAGCAAGGGTAGAGGAGGTGGATGAGGGAGGAGAAGGAGGGGGGAGAAGGATGTGGAGGAGAAGCAAGAAGAGGAGAAGGAGGCAGAGGAGAGCAGGAGGAGGGTGAGCAGAGGGGGGGGATGATGATGAGGAGGAGGAGGAGGAGGAGGAAGAAGAGGAGGAGGCCAGAGGCTTTCTTGGGAAAGTCCAGGGCTCTCTTGAGGCCATCTTGGGCAGGCCTCCTGGGCAATTTGGGGCTCTCCTGGGCTGTCTTGGGGCAGTTTGGGGGCCCCTTGGGAGCCTCTTGGGGCCTCTTGGGGCTTCTTCGGGGCCTCTTGGGGGCCTCTTGGGGCTGAGAGCTCGAACTGTCCGTTCGGGTCCCCCGTCTGGGCACTCTCCTGGAGCCGTCTTGGGGGCCTCTTGGGCCGTCTTGGAGGCGTCTTGGGCAGTCTTGGGGCCCTCTTCGGCCGTTAGGGGACCCTCTTGTGGGCCTCTTGGGCCGTTTCGGGGCGATCTTGGGTGCCTCTTGGGGCCTCTTGGGCCGTTTTGGCGCGTCGGGAAGCGGAAGAGGCAAGAACGCCAAAATCATTCAAACACGTATGGGAAATCGATGATTTTTGCCTCTTGGGGCTCTCGTGGGAAAGCTCCTGGAGGCCTCTTGGGGCGCTCTGCAGGCCTCTTGGGCCGTCTGGAGGCCGTCAAGATGTCTTGGACGGATCACTTGGCGATTCGGGGTTCTCTTGGACTGTCTGTGGGGCCTCTTGGGGGCACTCTTTGGCCCGTTTTGTGAAGTTCTTTTGAGCTCCGGGCTTCCCGCGGGGGGCGTCTGGCCCTGCTCCCCCGGGACGCCCCCCCCCCCTGGGGGGGGGGGGAGGGATCGAAGGGAAGGGGCTTCCCTCCGACTCCATTACGGCGTTGCTCCATTTCGCTTCGGCTGGCGCGCTGAGGAGGTCCCTGGGAGAGGGGGGGAGCTTCGACGAGCCCAGGGACGGGGGGGAGGCAGGGGAAGGGGACGACAGAGGCGACGACCAGCAATGAGGGGGATGACGACTTGAACGGACAAGCCCCTCGCACGCGCCGACAGGCTCGGCGGATTAGTTCTTGCTCCAACCATGGCATTTTGGACCAAGGCCACCTTCAGGCTCGGCGCTGTCCAGGCTACAGTGCCGTTTTTAATACATGCTCCGCGCGCGGACCATGTACAACAAATGCAGCGACTTAGTAGCAAAAACAACGACAAGTTCATGCATACATCTATTCATATATAAATCATGTATGAATCCCATATTCTAAAAATCCAATGTGTTAAGACCTGCCCTGCAATCTCTGGGCAGGGCGGCCTCCGCTGCGGCTCGGAAGTCCGGTGGGGGGGGGGGGCGCTCCGGGGCGCTCCGGGGCGCCGCGGCGGCGCCCTGCGACGGCGGCGGGCGCCGAGGCCGCCGCGGGCACGCGCCGGGGCTCGCGATGGCGGCCGCCGGGGACCAGCGTTACGTATGCCGGGCGTGTCCCCCCTACCAGGGGGATTTTCGACGACTTTTATATACAACCCAAACACATACACCAAAAAGGTCAAAACATACCCCAAACATAGTCCCCGTACTTTTTTGGAATTTTGGTTTGATTCTTTTTGGGGCATTTTTAATGTTTCGTCGAAAATCCCCCTGTAGGGGGACCGGCCCGACTTAAGACCAGCGCTCACTCGCGAGGCGCTGCGCCGTCGCGGGGCGGCCCTGGAGGCGAGGGGCGGAGAAGGCAGTTTCGGAGGATTTCGAAGGGCGAGTTCCCCCACTGCAGAGCGGGGGTCAAGCGCCTCGAGTTGGATCGCCCACGCGGAGTGCGGCCAGGTGCTCGTGACAGCCTAGCCAGCCAGGCGATGGAGGTCGACCTCTCCGCCCAGGCTCCCACCCCGCGCCCGTTCGGCGCGGGGCGGGCGGGAGAGTCCGCCGGGGGACAGCGCCGACGTCGGCGTTCAAAGGGGGGGGCCGCCCCCCCCCCCCCGCGATGCCATTCCCCCCTCGCTTCCCCGCCCTTGGGACGGGCCGGGCCTGCTCTGCCAGCGCAACCTTGTGATCGGAGCCGAAGTCCCCGTCCTATCGTGTCTTGCCGGCCTGTCTCCGTGTTGCTTCGGGCTTTGAGCGCAGCGCGCGCCCTTTGGCGGACGTGAGTTCTTTGCGCCGAGCTTCTCGGGCGAGCGCCGAGCAAGCCAGGGAAGGCGTCCCTCCCTCGTTGCTCGCCCTCTTTAAGGTGTGCACCAAGAAGCGCGATGGCGCTACCTCCCACCGCCACAAGGAGGTCGGCCAGCCGCAGTTCCGGAGCACGGCGTCGCGCCAGAAGTGCGGCGTGCGCGCGCCAACTTCAATTTGAACCTGGGCAACACGGAGGAGGTTTTGACGCTTCCACACACATTCCTCCACTGCCCTTCCTGGGGGCCCCGCAGGGGGCTCTAAGGTTTTAGTGCCTCCTGGGAAATCATGGGCGAAGCGCGACCAGTATTTTGAAATCCCGGTCTCATGTTCGCGGCTGGCGCCGCCGCGGTTTCCGCCGCATCTTTCCGTCTCCTTGTTGCACCGACGCTCCCCCGAGATGCTGCCCCCCCCCCGCTTCTCGGGCGGCGCGGGCCCGCGCTTGTCGCCCGGGCACGCGCCGTACTTCACCGGAGCCAGGGCGTTCGCGCGGCGTTCTGCGGGGACTGTTTGGAGTGGCTCGCGCTGGGGGGCCGGTGTGCTAGAGCCCCCCCACCGCGCTGCCGCGCCCGCGTCTGGCAACAGTATCCGCGGGCATCCTCTCACGCGCCGCCCGCGGCAACGCCCGAGCGTTGAGTGGAATGCGCTCGCGGAGGTCGTCCAGGGGGGGGCCCGCGGTGCCCGATGCGCGCGCCGTCGTCGGAGCGCGCGCGCGCGCGATTGCACTTCGCGCCGAAGGGGCCGCGCGTCTGCCCCGAGCGAGCGCCGAGGGCACCTGCTGTCGGTTTTCGTCAGGGCGGAATGCCACCCCCGACTCGCAGGAGGCGTCGGGAATCTCCTGCGGCAGATCGTGGATGGCCGGCCACCGCTGCGTCGTTGCGGCGAGGCGCCGGTGGAGATGGGTGCGCGCGGTGGCCCCCCGATCTCCCAAGGTCCAGCCGCGGCCCTGGGGCGCCTCGGGCGCCGCACTGCGCCGGGGCACGTCGGCCGCCAGCGCGCTCCACTGCGGGCCTCCCCGCGCGGTGCTGCGGTCGGCGGCGGCTGTTCTCGAACAGTGGAAGGTGGTGTTGGCTGAGCC